GATATTTATAAAGTTGTGGGAATCATTTCAGTCTGCCTTTTCCTGTGTTGCTGCTAAGTCTGCGGTAGAAAGGTCAGACTTTGTGGAAAACGTTCATAAAAAAAATCTGAAGCTGTAGTTTTACATTTGGCTCTTTCTGTCGGCTGTAGGTCCCATTCATGGCCGAACGAAGGTGCAGTCAAGGTCAGATGAGTTTTCTTCCCTCTTGAGACTTGAAAGAAAACTCGAATTCTGCAAAGTCTCCTTAAGCTGCAGAACAAAAGGTGGTGGAGAAAGCTGCTGGATCGATGCACAAAAGGGGAAAATCATTCTGGGAAACAGAAGGATTTTGTTTTCTTTAGTGGTGCTGTGTATTTATGTTTGCATTCCAAAGACCACAGCAAAACAGACCACCTGAGAGTAATAGGATGATGGAAGATAATGACCAAGACACACAAAGACCCAGTGTAAGCTAATTTAAAATCGTCTTTGCTTCTAGTAAATATTGCATTGTGCTAAAGACTGCAAAAGAAATTATTCCAGGAAAAGTTCAATAATTTAAATCAAATTAGAGAATTGCGATCAATCATCTCATGAGAATTCAAAGCACTCTGTCCTGTTCTCTGAGCCAATATCTTATCTTAATCAGACTGTCATAACACAGATCTCACAAAGCGTAAGGGAGAGATTCTTTCGGCTTTTTCTGGAATCATCTTCAGCTATCTAAACAGCTCGAATCTAAAGTACCAATCAGTTAATGGTTACGTACATAGACATCTGCAGACGTAAACCGATGAGAGAGTTTTATGGGCTATCACCAGTTTTGTGAAGCTCTGACCTGCGGACATCAGTTTCAGGCAGTTTCAGTTTTTCTGTCTTGACCATAAACCATATTAACAAATACTTATGTTTGACTTTCTTCACATAGATGGAATGGTCTTAACCACAGACCACACATTGTTTCAGCATTGTGAAATAACAAGAAAAAAAAATGACTACAGTCATAATATTTTAAACTTGCTCTAGTGTGTTAAATTACAGACTGGCATGACTTGAATGATTATCATGGTTAGTGTCTATATCTAAGTCTGTTTACCTCAGCAGTATTCTCTGATGAGGTAGTAAACTCTTACCTCAACAGTGAAATTTCCAAAACACTGTAAATGTTTTGTGATCTAGGTTGATCCATGGCAGAAGGAACTTAAACTCTTAAAAAGGGGAAAAGGGCAAAATCACATTGCCTGTTTAAATGTATCAAAAAGTCTTGATTTCATTTTTAATTTTAACTTACTATCACTGAAAGTAGGAAACTTGGACTCCAACCCTCAACTTCAACTCTGAGTGTTATTAGGAAGATCTGTTTGCATTTTTGCACAGCTCAGTCACCAATCAAAACATTTTATTTTTTAGATTTTTAGTTTCAAATCACAGATCAGGGCCAGTCAAGCATAAGATCATCCAATTTCTTTCACCAGCTTTAATTTCTCGTTGCATCGCCAGTCGTCTATGCTTATTTACCCTGATGACCGGCTCCATTGCAAAATGTTCCATTAAAAAGCTATTGCAAAAAGTACAACTGCATTATTTGAACTGTTATGTTGTAAAATAAAAATAAAAATAAACAAATCCATAAAACAGAGTATGCTGGAAGTAATCTTTTTTTAAGGTTTGATTAGGGTTAGGCAATATGAGGACAGTAGATCAGAACGTATTAGGATGTACCGAAGGTCTGCTGAAGCAGAGCGTTCTCTGCAGATTTTATCCTCCCGTCTTTCATGGGCAAATCAGTTTTATTTTAATCCTTTTTCATTAGCTTCATAAACTAGCATTGCACCTGCCCTAACGCTCTGCTTGTGAAATTAAATCTGCTGGGCCTCACCTTGGCACTCAGACAACAATTTTGAGTCCCACACTACTGGACCTGACACGGGGAAAAAAAAAAAAAAATGAAAAGTTTCATTACCTGGTTTATCTGTACAGTGACTATATTTATTGCAGAATGAACATTTGCAGAGGCTTAGTTTTAATAGTTTTAATTTGGTAGAACAGTGTAAGAGTGAACATGCTTTGAGTCATGACTGCTTCTTAAATGATAACTGCATTTGACACAGGTTAGTAAAATTACACAAACAGAATCTGTTAGAAATATAATTTTCCTAAGAACCTTGTTATTACATGGGAAAACTGTGAAAAGTGTGTGATCATTGATTGAGCCCAGTTAACCAATATCAAATTTGTTTTTTTTTTTGTAGAACCCTTTTCATACAGACAAGTGTTGCACAGCACTTTACAAAATCTAAAGCAGATAATCAGACAAAAAAAAAATACACATTACAAGTGATAAAACTAAATATACCAAGAAAAACTAAATATACTAAAACTAAATATACCAAATTTTGAAAAATTTAGTTGTTTGAGAGAATGAGTGATTAAGAAAACAAAAATATGTAGAACAGTTAAACAAAAATAAATAAAGTACAAACTCTAAAAACATAAACAGAACATAGAAATAGACATATCAAAGTATGTGTGATAACATCTGGAATCTTGACACAGATAAAATCAAATAATTAACGTAATACTTGCTAAAATAAATCAAAACACGTCACAGATGTTTCCTTGGATGATGGGGTTTCTCGCTGAAACTTTTGATCGTGTTCAATTCCCTGTGTTTGTTATTAGTGTTATTTTAAAGTAAAACAGGACATGATAAATAACTATTAGCCTAAACATAAGTCCAAAGTAAATAGATTCAAATTAGAAAAATGCCTTTACAAAAGACCTGGGGGGTCTGGAAGGCTATTGGGAGAAAAAAAAAAAAGTGCATTATTTTTTGCCATATCGGCAAATCCGCTTTAATTGAAATCCACTTTAGAACGGGCAGAATTAGCCGGAGCGCTCACTGAGAATTACTCCCTCATTATCCAAACTGAATGGGTGCTGACTGTTAATGTGTCTTAAGATACTAACCCTTCCTTTAGGAACCACTTTAAAAACAATTGGTTACTATTAACTCTTAAGAGCGTCTTAACTTAAATGTGCTTTTTTTTTTTTTTTACTTCTGACACAACAACTGTTTCTTTATGCTGAAATAAGTATAGCTTCTTTGCTTACACACTTTTGTTTAGTAATGGTTCTTTAATGAGTTTGCATAACATGGACCAGTCATTTAGTGGTGCAACGTGAATGTTTTTAGCCCGAGTCAAATCTTGCTGGCTGCTTATTAAAATAAGTTGAGGGAAAAGGTTTGCGCGTCCTGGCTGGAGGTGCCGTGTATTTCTGTTGTCATCAGTGTCTTGCTGCACTTCATCCCAAGGTTGCCTTATGTAGCTGTTGCCAGTCTGGCTGTGGGCTGCAGGCGTGCAGGCGGTGAAGTCTTTCTGTGCTCTGCTCCAGAGCAAGGTGTGAGGAGGCTTACAGCCAGAGTCAAGGTTAGCGCACAAAGAAAGGAGTGTGGAGCCCTGGGCTCTGGCTGCAAAAATGCAGCAGTGCTTGAAATACATTATTACACGAGGTGGATATGTGATTAACTGCTCCATCTAAATCGTTAAAAGCATTGCAGAAAATGCATTTCCATGACATTTTCTGCCACTTATTCATTAGAAATGAGACTGATGGGCTCTAAAAGCCAGCTCCTGCTATTTCAGCTTTGTAATCAGTTCATTTCCTCTTTGTTTCCGTTTCATTCCTTTGGTTTGTTCCCATCTGTCTGACATGCGCCGTCGGAGGTGCAGAGCCTTAATGATGAGGAAGTTGTCAGAGAGTGCTGACCCATCGATACAGGCTGAGTGAGAGGTTTTGTGTGGTTGTGCTCCCTCATGTGCCGTTCTTGAAAAGCGCCGCTGACATTTTTCCCCCCTGTTGTTAACAACTGACTGGTGTCTACAGGGAGGCAGACAAGTGGTTTATTTTATCCTTCAGGTTGCTATGCCTAAGCAAGGATGAAGTTCAAATTGCTTCACGCTACTGTATACCAGCATGTCCAAAATCTGCTAAGATTATCGGAGCTGAGGCAAATGTTGTAATTGCAGCTGAAACGAGAGCGAAGACTCGAGCTGCAGGGAAACAAGGGCACCTTTCATCACTCGCTCCCATTCTGTGGGAATGCTGTAAACTATCCCCTGTAACAAATATCCTGTGTCCTCGGCTTAACACGCAAACTCAAACATGATAAACCGACAGTTTGCTTTAGAGACGGAGCCTGAGCCAAACATGTGCAAACATGCTGATTTTGGTGTAAACTGGTGTTGCTGTGTTTGTAAAGAAGAAAACCTTGATCTATACAAACTTCGTCTCTGTGGTCTTCGCTCGCTCAGAAGTCAATCGGCAAAAGACGGAAAACTTGGGTGGGGGGGATAAACAGGCGGCACGAGGCCCTGGCTGAGCAGTCTGTCCAGGAGCAGCGCACAGAAAGCCAGGCGATTACAAGGCTCTGCCGGCGGGTTTACAGACGCACCACAATAAAACAAAAAGACAAAAACAACAAAGTGGAGTTAGAAAAAAAAAGATAGCATATGGTTTTTTTACGAGTGCAACGAGAGTGAAACACCGCTCACTATTTTCAGACAAGCTGCGTAGGTTGAAACATGCTGTTCCGCTCCAAAGGTGTGATATTTTCAAAACATGGTGTGATCCACGTCTTATTGCCTCACTGTAAATTTCTTTGAAATATTTTTCCCCCACATTTCCACCTTAAAGACCAGCAGCTGTAAAAGATTCCTCCGTGCGCTGTGAAAGACTTCAAAGCCGGCTGAATATTCAACGAGGCTCCGCGTTGTTCTTGTTTCTGTCTTATTATCGTTTCCTCTTTAATGAACACTTCCTGCCTCCCCGCTTTCTCCTGTTCCATTAGAGAATTTGCTTTGTTTAAACTCCTGCGACGTCCGGGGCACGCGCGGCTCGTCGCTGCGTTTTACGGAGATTGTTGCACCCACTTACATTAGCCGTGACCCCCCCTCTCCCTCATCTCATGGGTGGTTTGCTGTATTGATGTTTTTTTTTGTTTTTTTTTTCTCCCACAGGTTGTGACCGCGGGGAAGAACAGCCATGGTTACCACTACATTCTGGTCAATCTTGTGAGTAATAACCATGCTGCTCCCCTGAGAAGGAGTGTAACCATTTATTTATTTATTTTTGCTACATGTAATAGAAAAAAAATGTGCATACTCATAGTTGGCCTGCAGTATGGAGTAGGAAAAAAGAAGTGCTCTGCATGTTTTCAATTTCTCTGTAATTTTTTTGTTTGTTCTGGTCAGAAGTTTACATGTATTCAGCCTACTAGCCTTCTTAACAATAAGCAGTTTTAATATAGATTTGGGACTATTTTCATGTTGGACCAAACAGTCATCCATTGTCTTTGTAAAGCGAAATAAGACATAGACCAGGGATCTGAAACTCCCATCGTTTTGCAAGATTTTGACAGCTTTTGGCACTTTCTAAAATTTAGAGGAGCCCCTGCTCCAAAATCTTCAGCTGAAATTTTGCAGCTTACGAGAACAATCCACCTGCTGTCTGGGAAATTCTTTGCAACGAGAGATTAGAGTTATTTAAATCCAATTAGTAAGTAAGTAAAACTGTATTTACAAAGTACATTCCAAAATAAAATAAAAAAAAATCACAGAATAAAAAAGGGAGACGTGTTTTTAGCAGGTCTTTAAGGGAAGCCACTGCTGCTCTCATAGTCAATGACAGGAATTATATTTGGAGGATTTGAAACTCGAGAAAACTGTGCCGTCTGTCAAGCAAAGTGATGATGGTGGTACTGGTGCGCTGTAAAAAAAAAAAAAACAGTAGATAGGATATTGCCGAAATAGGACCATCTCCAAAAAACATTTTATCTTCAGTTTCAGCCAGCAGATAGCAAGATGAAACATGGAAAAAAAAAAAGAAAAAATATATTTCAAGTGTAGCAAATTGCCAGAAGCTTAGCAATCTGCTACTGAGTATTTATCCAAACATTAGTGGGAGTTCATGGGTATACATTTCTCACTATGTGTGATGAATGGAAATCCACAACAAATTCAAGTTTCTGCACCCGAGACTTGTTGTGAAAACGCATCGAGGTGGTATTTTGTAATTATTCCAGCCTGAAAAAGGAAAATTCAAAAATGCATGATTAAAAATCCAAACCCTGCTGTCATATTACACTGCACAGTCACTGAGCATACTAATGGTTTATTAGATAAAGATGACTTAACCTTTTTAACCATCTTTCCTTATTTTCCCACACTCTGTGGAAGGAATAGCTAATTTCAGCTTGTTATTAGCAGGGGAGGTTTTTTTTTTTTTTTTAGAAATTGAAGGCTCGCTCTCACTTGGTGCCCTCGGTGCTGTTTCTCTGGCTGTAGAAGATGTGATTGTGGAGGAGGCAAACACATGTTCTCACACACCATGAGCTCCCAATGTTGGGCCTTAGAAAGAAAACATCAATTTTACCATGAAAAGAACTAACTTTCATGGTTCTTGGGTGAAGAAGGCGATTTGAAGGCAGTGCATTTAGGCCATTATATACTGGGAAGCAAACATGGCAGCCAGCTCAAATATTTTGACACGTTGCAACACTGACTCTGGACGGCTGCCTTTCTACGGTGCTGAACAACTGATAAAGATATATTTTTGCCTAACATCCAAAGACACAATGCTATGTTTTTGAAGGTGTTTAGTGTGTTTGAAACTCTGGTTCATTTTCCACCTTGATGTGGTTCATTTGTGTAGATGTGAACACAGCAATTTCTCTCTGGTGGGGACTGAAATAACTCCGCAGTGATTTCTTAATGTGAACATGATCCAAACTCGATCCAACACGGCTACCAGGTGTACATTGCAACTTGAACCCAATGTCTTTTGTAGTCATGTATGCGATGTGCTGTGTGATGCAGGAGAAGAAAAAAAAAAAATCAATGAAGGCTGTTTGTCTTTTGAATAGAGCAAAAAGCCTTGTGTCAACTTTCCAGAGGTCTTGTCAAAATCTCTTTGGTATACTTTTCCCATGACATCATTTGATTTACATACTAGATTCTCACTCGAAACACCGCCTCGTCTTTCTGTCTCGACATTTGGTTCTTCTGCCCAACAAACAAACTAAAATCACGTTTCTAAAAAAAAAATACAGCAAGTCGCAAGAGTGTCATCGCTGACCCATTTCACTCATGTGTAATTTTTTTTAGGGATTTTCGAATGTGAGTATGGGCAAAGTCATCGCCGGAGGAGCCAACATTTCAGGGTTTCAGATCGTCAACCCTGAGAACCCGATTGTGCAGCAGTTCAAACAGCGATGGGACCAGCTGGATGAAAGAGAATTCCCAGAAGCTCGCAACGCTCCTCTGAAGGTAGTCGGGCTTTCGCAGGGCTTTATTACATTGTGCATGCAGAACACGCAGGTCGTTCCTTCTGAAGTGATCTCCATCAGCTGTTCCTCTCTCATCCTGTTTGCCTTTATCATTCTTTTGCCCTCTCGCCTACCCTCCCTCGCTCTTTGTGGCGTCTTTGCTTTGCATTTCTCAGCGCAATCAATATATTGATAGGCAGTGCAAGCCAAGGTTATATTGCAGCTTCAATTTACATCTAATTAAACAATGATCAAGGAAGAAATGGATTTGGAATGCCATTTAATTAGATTTTGCCGTGGTGTGGTGGTCAACAAACAAGTGCCTCAACCCCTCGGTGGTGAAAAGGTCAGGAGAAGTTGCGGGGTAAGTACGTGGGAGATAAAAGTCAAACTTTTATCCTTTATTCACCACCTAACTCCGCAATAAAGTTTTGGATGAGGTCCTGACATTTAGATAAGTCCTCGATAGCTTAAGTTGCATTTAACCTACTGATAAGCAAGGTGTCAAAGTTTGCATTCACCCCAAAACACACAAACCTGACCAGACGCCGAAATGCTTTGAAGCACACAAATTGCCTCTTTTTCATCTGACTTCTCTCAATTTAACAGCCTGTCAAAGAATAAAAAGTCTTTTTGTTTTCACAGCACAGTTTTTTCAGCATCGTATGTTCTGTTGTTTGTGTTTATCACTCTCTGTTTTTGGACAGTACACCTCTGCCCTGACCCACGACGCCATCCTAGTGATAGCCGAGGCATTCAGGTACCTGAGGCGCCAACGCGTAGACGTCTCTCGTCGAGGCAGCGCAGGAGACTGTCTGGCGAATCCCGCCGTACCCTGGAGTCAGGGCATAGACATCGAGAGAGCTCTGAAAACGGTAAGGAAGGGATATGGGAGGGAGTGGTAGGCTGAGACCAAACAGAGAGAAAAAAAAAAGGGGGGGGGGGCTGAGAGAAGTAGTGATGCAGGGTTAGCATGATAAAGATGGAAAGTGACAGAGAGAAAGGGAGAGAGTGCAGAGCTATTCTCCGCTCTCTGCCTCCAGATATCTCTGCGCAGAGCTCACTCAAATCCAGGCCCTCATTACCATAAAACTACATCTTTTATTAAAGCGTATCCAGTTCATCATTTGATTAACGGACTGAGTGCGCTCCAGTTGCAAAATGGACACGGGCACCTTAATGCCAGCTATATCTGCAAAGTGATGCAAGCCTTCCACTTCTTCCTCGCTCTAAGTGTCTGTTTTTCCATCAGGTCCAGCTGCAGGGGATGACCGGGAATATCCAGTTTGACAACTATGGCCGCAGGACCAATTACACAATAGAGATACATGAAATGAAAAAGGATGGGCCAAAGAAGGTAAGACCTTTTGCAGCTGCCAGAGCTACTTGGAATCATTTTCCTTGGCCAACATTAAAGTTAAAAATTTTAAGTTGGCTTGTATTTAGCAGCAAAACTGTACACCTTTGCATCCCCAGTACTTATTTAGAATATGAAAACTTTGTCAAACAGAAATGTTGCAATAATAATAAAAAGGGATTTTACACTCTATTAGAAAAAAAAAAAAAAAAAATAAATAAAATTATATATATAAAAATTTTTATTTAAATATATAAATATTTTTATATATATAT